TTTCCTTAAGGGAGGGCAAGACTTGCGCGCTGTGGCGGGGTGGATACATAAAAATTATGACACCAAGGCGGCCGCAGGCAAAAGTATCTACTGTATATAGCTTGTATATATATGTATATATGTGTGTGTGTGTGTTGAGATGCTGCGACGATAAAGGCTGCAGCTGCAGCCTCATTTATACCCTGTACCCACTTAAGAGGGTAGCATGCTTGTGTGCTCATATGTGTGACAGGCTGAAAGATATATCTTCGAACCTATAGAGAATTCATGAATGGTCTTGATCAGCGTCAACAGGCGAGTCTGAATGAATGAATTAAGTATCCCCGATCACGTGCTATATATATATTCTTGATCAGTATCAATAGCCAAGTCGATTTAGCTATGTCCTCTAGGGCTGTTGAGCACTCTTACATTATTTTAAGGGATATATAGGGTATCCATCCAAAGTGTGTTTATGCAAGTATAAAAGGTTACGCCAGATTGGGGCTGTGCTTAGGGTATCTTCTAGTCATGCACTCCCTGGCACACTTGCTTGTTTTTGCTGCTGCTGCTGGCAACAGCTTATCCGCTTTGGCATCAGCAGCAACATCATCATGATAGATAAGAGCCGAGTTCAGCTGGGTTGAGTTGGACTTTTATGACGTTGTCGCGCCGCAGGATGGCCACGAAATATGCAGAAAACGAGGTGACAGCCAGCAATTTTAATTTTTATTTTTATTTCTCTTGCTGCTTTTTGCTGCGGCTGCAGCCAAACAAGAATTGGCGAGCGAAACAGGTACATTGCCCGATTGTAAAATGTCAACGAGGAGGTGCAACAATGAGAGGTGGTGCGGGGGGGAGGGAGTTTGCTTCCAATGTAATCCACAACAATCCAATTATTTAGCTTGCATCGGCTTAAAAGCTAAAACAACAACAAAATTATGACCAGGCCAGAAATATATAACCACACACAAACATACAGTTAACACGGCAACGGTGGCAAACATATGTTTTGATGGTCCGATTAGCGCAACAAAAAAAAAACGGTATATATATATATGTATATATATGTTCAGCTTATATCTGTTGATATATGTTTTTGCCGTATCTACAAACTGGTCGCGGAGTTTCGGTAGCGACCACCGCAGCCAATGTGACATGTGTTTGCTTTTTATCAGATGCCTTGTTTTCAGTTTATTGCCACCAAATTCATATGCCACAAACAAATTTGTTAAAGCCCAGCTAAGACTGTGGCCGAGCCAAAGCTAGTCTAGCGAAGGTCGCTGCACAAATTGCGATTTGAGGAAAACTTGTGTAGAAATTGTAATACATCCAAATAATATATCTAAGCTGTAAGTGAATGTCTGTATACATAACTGGACTTGAATTCAAATTCATTTCATTATTATGCAGCAAATTATACATCTGCTAGCAGGTGTTGCCCGGACAGAATTTGAACAAAGATCATTGAAAATAGGTTTGGTAAAAGAAGCGATTTTTCCGCACAAGCAGGTGGAATTTCTTCAAAACTTAAACAGTTTAAACTTCCCAGCTCTTACGGCTTGTGCGTTGATCACTAATCAGTCAGTCAGTCAGCCATTTATTCAATCATTCATCAGTCTGTCAGTCAATCAGTTAATCAGGACAAACAGTTGTATATATAGAGATTATATTGGCATATGCAATATCTGATTTAATATAGTCTGTAAGTTTGTTAAGAAGTAAAGTTGAACATGTGTCTTCCTAGCTAACCCGCCTATCGAGTTTATTACTTATCACCGATTACTTGAATCGATAAAAATCGATAACAATATGCATTTCCTTAAGCATAAATGTTCTAACAGCTGTTGGCACATGAAATGCCTAATTTCATATCGTTTGTATGCTCTTTAAGAAGAACATTCAACGTTTGTCTTCCGCGTTTACTCGAATATCGAGTTTGTTATACATTATCGATAACTTGAAGCGATTAAAATCGATAACAACATGCATTTCCTTAAGCATAAATGTTCTAACAGCTTTTGGCACATGAAATTCCTGATTTTATGTAGTTTATATTCAACGTTTGTCTTCCTTGTTTACTCGAATATCGAGTTTATTATATATAATCGATAGCTTGAATCGATAGAAATGTTCTCTTCTTGCGAGCATTTCGCATATGAACCTCTTGTGTGTCTCATTTATCTAATAGCCGTATAGATTTCACACCAAATTGTCAATAATTAAAATCAACGCCTCAACAAATGTACGCAATTATCTAATAAAACAATAATTTGAGCATATCAATAACCTTTTGACCTTTTCAAATAAACAGTTAAACCACTTTTGATACGTCTAGGCGTATTATTAACTGAAACAAATCAGGTTACTTTATTTTAAACTTTTAAATTGAAAACTTAGTTGAGGTCATTTTCGGGGGCGAGGACTATCAGCACAAAGTAGCTTTCAATTGAAATATATACGTGTCTGAGCGCGCGCGTGTGCTTGTGTATGTGTGTGTTTGTGTGTGTATGTGTGTGTGCGTGTGTGTGTGTGTTTGTGTGTACTTATTTATCAATAATTACATTTGAACTGCTTTGACCGCACAAATGAAAATTCTATTGAAAAATGCGAAACAAATAAAATTGATGTGGAAATGTTTTTGAAGTCTTCATTTTTGTGCAACATCAATAAATGAACTTTGATTCGCTTTTGGCAAAAGACTAATTAAATCCAACTTAATGTTGCGTCTGTCTGAAGTGTATTTAAAACTAGCCACTTTGCAGGCTATTGCTGCCACTTAAAGAAAGTTGAGCGCATATTCCTTTTATGCCCTTGCAGAGGGTATTATGATTATGTCTCGATATGTGTAACGCCTAGAAGGAGACATCTTCGATCCCGATATATATTCTTGATCAGTATCAGCAGACGAGTCGATCAATTTATATCCGTCCGTCCGTTTATCCGTCTGTTTCTATGTTTCTCTCAGTTTTAACTCAGTTTTAACTTCCAATTCGTCCCTCCTTCTGTTGTACATACGTCGAACCGACTAGATCGGACCATTATATCATATAGCTGCCATATATATGCATAATTCAATCAACATCGGACCACTATATCATATAGCTGTCATAGGAAATATCGGTCGAAAAGTAGTTTATTGTAAGATTTTCCCTGCGCTTCTTAGATACGAGCGGAAAGTATATTAAATTTTCTCTTCTTTCTTAACCTGTTGCTGAGATATTATCAAAATCTTATCATTTAGTTGCAGTAGAATTAAACGACCTAAATGTAAATTTAGTGACTAAGTTTCTATTCAATTTTTGTCTTTCTTTTTCTTTAAATGTTCCTGTTTGTTTTTTAATTTTGAAATGAATTATAAGTGTTCGTTTTCGATTTAACAACACATGAATTTATTGCACTGATGCGTTCATGATTTTTCATGTAGAGAAACAAAAGAGAGAGGGAGATAGAGAGAATCAGAGACGGGGGCGGTGGCGAGATTCGCGTACACCCACAATATTTCCCCATAGAGTTAACGGTGCGTAGGGCATAAATTGTTGGCCTGCGCCCCCTAAAAAACGCAGCGCGGACGACTTTGTCGACTCGGCGTTGTCATATTTGACATCGGCTCTATAAATCAACAAAGAATGTTCGTTGTCGTTGGATGGGACAGGGGGGACTGGGGGACTGGAGGACAGAGGGACGGAGGCGGGGAGTCGGCGGGAAACTTGCTTTCGATTTGATTGATAATGCCCAAAGGCAGGGCGGAGGAATGAAACGAAATGAAACATTACGGCGGAATGGATTGTGGAATTGTGTATGACATGACATGGCGGCCCCCAGACCCGAGACTGTGTGTGCGCGTGTGTGTGTGTGTGTGTGTGTGTGCGTTGCAAGCGGAGCGAAGCGGTTGCGCTGCTTGGCACGCTGTGGGGGGATCAGCTGCATGCCGCATGCTGCAGCATCATCATCCGACTGCGACTGCGTATTTTGAAATATGGAGCGGTAATAAATGTCACAGGAATCATTTGAGAGGAAATACGAGTGACGAGCGTGACTTGCATTCGATTTATGTTGCAAGTTGGGAAATGCGTGTTGCATGCCGCATGCTGCTTGCTGCTTGCTGCTGCTTAGACGTCTGCTGCTTCTTCTTCTGGCAATGATAAAGTTTTTGATTTACGCAGCAACTGCGGGCAGGTGTAGCAAAAACTTTTGTGCTGGCAACTTGCAACTAACCACCAGCCGCAGCTTTAATTGCCGTGCCACAACAAATTGTAGGCGTTACGGTGTGTGTGTGTGTGTGTTTGTATATGTGTGTGCCTGAAATTTGGCATAATTATAACCTGTTTTCATTTTGTTATTGTTGCCGTTGTTGTTGTTGCACTAATCTCGCGTGTTGCTTGCGGCGCGTGAAATCGCGTTGCACGGCGGCAACGTCGGCAGCTTCCTAGCTGAAGCAGCACCCACCCAGGCGCAGAGTTGTCAACCTCAAAAGCAACTGCTGCGCTGCTCTGTGATTCTGCCACTGCAAGTTGCAAGTTGCAAGTTGTAAGCTGCAACTGCAAGGTGGTGTCTAGCGTGTTTTGGCGAGGTGAGCGAGCGTTGAAGTCGCGTTCTTGAGAAACCGAATGCGGAATGGGAATGCAAACAGCAGAACACACGCAGCCCCATGCAGCCAGGCGCAGCTCCGCCAAGCTCTGCACAGGTAAAAGGGTTGGGTGAGGGGGGCGGTGGGCTGGTGTGGAGCTGTCTTTCGCTGCGGTCGCGGTCTGCTTGTTGCCGTCACCAAGCCAAGCCAGCATTGGATAGCCTTCGCACAGTGGTGCAAATGCACAATGCTGGCATGCATATAAATATTTCATTTGCGTGTTTGGCAATCATTTTCTAGTCAATGTCTTGGCATGCAGTTCGAGGCTTTATCTGATTCGTGACCCCAAGCACCGACTGGCTGCTTCCCAGCAGCTAAAGCGAACAGCTTGAGCTGTTTCCATCACATTAGAGTCAGTTTTCGGTTCGGGATTCGCACTTAGGCAACTTACCTATAATAATCGTTTTTGCAATAAATGTTGCCGTCACGTGAATAACATGAGGATTCCCGTTCCAGCGGCTGGCGACAAGCATAACACTGCAAGCAGCTGGCATGCCAGCGTTTTTCCACAGCGGAGAGGTAGAAACGATCCTGCAAAATCACGCAAAAAAAGCAAAAAACAATTAATGATGGATCTACAAACGCCTCTTAAATTTATGTATATATTTTTTTTGTATGCATTTTTGACATTATTTGCAGAATTTTTGACTCGAAAATGCATCAAATTCCTCGATAAATTAATTCTGTGCTCATTATAAGAATTATTTCTTAATAATAAAGAAAAATTATTTCTTAATATTAAAGATTCCCTTTAAATAAATGTCTTTATGTTTGTAAACAATATAATTGAGATGCTGCCTCATTTAAATTCGTGTTTTATAACATGTTGATAATTGTAATGAATATAATTATATGCTAATTTATATCCATATATTTTTACAATTATGACTTGCGGCTCTTTGTTCAAGTAATCAAGTTGTTAACATAAAAGGAACGAGAAAAAAAAATACAGGTAGTCTTCGAAGTGCCGACGGTTGATTTTTCAATTCTATTTTCTATAGTTTTCAATCGATTGTTCCCATGGAAAATGTTATCGTGAAGCTTATAAGCTAGTTAAATTGGGATTATTTGAAGACAAAACGAGAAGGAAAAGCTGTCTCCAGCACGCCGAACTACGAATACCCTTGCAGACCGTACTTTTACATGATGCTTTGCTCGTAAGCACAGGAAAAATAGTAATTGCCGCTTATGGTTAAGATTTCTAAACAGTTTTCAAAAAGTTGTTCGAACTCATTTTGGACAGATTATTCTTATGGCAGCTTTATGATATAGTAGTACGATCCGGTTTCGACATATGCAATTTCATGACGATACCCTTAAAAATGAGAGACTAGTTCGAATAGAAACAGACAGACGGACGGACTGGCGTATATATCTTTATCGACTCGGCTGTTGATATTGATCAAGAATATATATATTCTTAATGGGGACGGAGATGCCTCCTTCCATGGGTTATAAAACAGTATGAAAAACGAACTGCAGACGCTTTATTTTCATATCGCATTTTCTATACTTTTCGACCAATTGTTCACTTGGGAAATGTGTTATTTTATCTGGATAATATGTTGATTTTAGGTGAGTAAAGGATTATTTGTAGAGCAAAAAAGTAATTCTATATAGAACTTGTATGATATAGAAGCCTGATCCTTTCAATTATTATGCTTACAATGTGATTTTCTTTTAAATTTAAAGACTAATCATGCCCTTGAGAAAATTTTGATAGTTTTAATAGACACGATTTAAGATAGCTAAAACTTAAGGCAAACTTTAAATAATTTCACAAAAGACACATTGAATTAGCTGCAACAACTCATATAATCATGCGGCTAGTTTTACCTGCTAGTCTTACCTACCCACTAAATGATGTACTATCTAATCACATTTGGCTGAGCTCACCTGTATTTGTCGGCCGCAGCCGGCGCAATCGTCGGGATTGCGGGTTACTTTGCTATCGTTGGTGGACTCGGGGCTGCTGGGCGGTCCGAAGGGCTCCGTTTTGAATGATATGCCCGACGTGGTCTCGTCGCTGATCTCCGTGCAATCGGTGCGACTGCGGCTAATCGAGAATTTGGCCGCTGAGTCCTCAAATGTGGCGCGATCGGCGGTTTCATAGCTAAAAAATAAAAGGCGGGTGGATTTCAATTCACGTGTGCCTGTGTGCTGGAAAAGGGGGGGGGGGGGGGGAATGGAAACTTACCTTCTATATGACTCGCTGCCGTATGCATTGCCAAATGGCTTTGTACTGTGATCACAAATATCGGGACACGAGGATGATGTGGAGCATGTGCGAAACAATGGATGATGATTGTTATTTGCACCTGCAGCACTGCCGCATTGATTGCTCCCTTGATGTGCTACAGGTGGTGTTGGACTTTTCTCCCTTGCGCCGGGCCCAAGAAATCTTGCGCTCTGCTGCTGCAGGGCAAAAAAAAGAAACAAACAAAAAAAAAAAACGAGAATAAATACAAAATTTATACGTGTTAAATAAGGCAAACTTTTAGTTAACCGAGCAGGGTTTTCTTTCTTTTCATTTACTTTTGAAATGGAGACCGCATCGCTTGATTTCCGTCTCAGTCAGCTCTGAAATTTTTCACAAATTTCGTAAAATTTCAAAGGATGTGCCCCGAGCAACAAAATGATGCATGAAATTTTCAATGGCGGCGGCAAAAGTTAATTTCAATTAGCCAGCTTTTTTTTTTGCGTGACTTTTCCAAGAAAACGTTGCGCGACATTTGAACAAACTTGGGTAGGGGAAACCCAGCGACAGATGATGCCCGGCACCGCCCAGCCACCCCGCCCCTTTCCGCCCTCTCAGCCCTACACTCTCAACCGACAGACATTCATTGAAAAAAAGGAAAAACTTGAGAAGATGCAAACTACAGAGCATATAATATACGTGCCACAATATTATTTTCGAGTACGAAACGGAGCGCAGACATCATGTCGCACATTGCAGCCAGACAAATTATACAAATACAAATTTATATATATAAATATGGGAATATATGCATATCTGGCGACTCGCTACGTATCATCGATGCTCCAGTTTACTTATTTTTTGATTAATTAGTCGAAAATAGATTTGAGCTCTGTAACTTAGAAGGATGACAACTTTTTAACCAGCCGCAAAACTAAATAAATTCGAAAACCAAAAAACTTCTGTTTTTGCTGGCGTTACAAATATTTTGTTGTTGTTGTCGTTGTTCTTCTTCTTCTTCTTCTTCTTGTTGTTGTTCGGGCTGTGTTTGGGCAGACATCGGTTTTACCTTTGGGGGACGCAACGCAACATTTCTGGCTGCCATTTTAGTATCCAATATTTCACCATTTTCGTCTATCCACACACATCTAATCCCCAGCCGACATGGCATAACCACATTTTTATGGCAACTGCCATTTTCTTGTTGTTGTTGTTATTGTTTTTTTTGTGCAACATGATGGCTTGATTTGTAGCCTGCGGCATGCCCAAAAAGGGGCAGGCACAAAATAGCAAAATCAAGCAACAGAAAACACGTAATACGCATACATCTATCTCTACCCCTTTTGAACGGAACTAAGATGAAATATTTGTGGAAAGAAATTAATCTTTAATCTTCCATATTGTAGCAGTTTATAACTCCTCGAAAAGTCAAAAGTATTTACAAATGAAGCAGGCTAAAAGTTATTAAAGTTTATCTTAACATGACACCTACAATTTTTGGTTTAGGTTTGTTGCCTATTAAAAGCTTAAAAGTTCCTTTTAACCATTTTTTTATTGATTCATGTAGTTTTTCATTATTTACAAATAGAATTGCAATAATTCAGCTCATTTAGAATATATTTAATCTAATGAAAAGTCAGCCAGCAACCTGATTGCTTACTGAACAAAATTCAAGAGCCAATGCATTATTTATTGTATCTAAAACAGCAAAAACTCCACACAACCTGTCGAAGGGCTAATTCTGAAAAAAATATGCGGCTTATTTTAACCCTTTGCCCCGTTACATAAAGCAAGTCATGCCGTAAAGTCTGCGCCTAAACCGATTGGGAATTATAAGCGCATATCATGCACAAATTGTTCATGGCTGTCGTCTTTCCGTGCGTTTTGTTGTTTCTATCATGACAATATACATTATGCATGGATAACATTTCATCATTTATCCCATTGCCTGCGGCTCTGTCATAAAGGCTAAACATTTTTTTCTTTCTAGTTTTGTGCAATAACAATGTAATTGAATAGTCTAAAAGGCGCAAATCAAATGAAATATGATTTAAAATGTGGGCTACAATTAAAAATAATTCACATGTCAAGCTGATGCATAAATGTAAAACGTTTGTTTGGCTCAAATAACAATTTTTGCATGCTTAGCATGGCGTATGCTTAATATTGGGAAGTTTGACATTTTGTATGAAATATTGTTCACGTTTTGTATTGAAATATAAAACGATAAATAAACTGAGCATATAAAAAAGATAGCTGCAAGCTCATTCGAACTGATTGTTGGCATCGCTTCAGCTATCGATGCATGACAACAACACATAGAGAACTAAAAGGCAACTCATGATCTCGGTTGCGCGTTGTCTCTGAAACCGAACTGCACAAGGGGGTTTTTCTTATCGCTATCAACAGCTCTGTCTCAGACGCTGGCTCCGGCTGCTCTCGACTGGGCAGGAGCGTAGCTTTTGGTCTGGCATTGATAACATTTGTAACCCGAGCCCGAGATAAATCACAAATTAATCAGCGCCCATAGACCTGATGCGCCTCTGATGCTGAAGCTGACTCAAAAAACTTGTTCGAGAATGTGAAAAATGAGAAATCCGAAAATGTTTCACACATTTGTCCAGCATATTTACGCATTTTTAGCTACCGATTGTTCGATCTATCGAAATTTGATTGAGAATTGATCGATTAAGTAACTTATCGATAAGAGGCAAGCTTTGCTTGAATGTTTGAAGCGTTTTAGTGGCAGATTATTTAATTGAAGTATAAGGATCGTCTATTATTGACTATTTAACGATTCCTGCTACTTTTCGATTCCCAACGGACTCGGTTAAAGGCTCGCAAAGGTCTATTATCGACGAGCATTTCTTATCAACTCCCAAATTCGATGTGTTTTCTTATTGGTTGTATTAGTCAATGAACTTAACTATCGAAATTTCATTAAAAATTGATCAAGTTAATAAAACTGATCGATAAATATAAAGTTCCACTTGAAGTATTGATGGGATTTAATGGCAGATTATTAAACTACTGCGGGGTATGCGATTGCGCTTGCGAAGTTCTATTATCGACTAATATAACTTCTACATTTCCGGACTCTATCGACTTTTTTGTTACGAATATCGTTCTATCGAATCTAAAGGGCTTATCGACTTTAGATATCGGTGAAGTAAGGCTTTGTATCGATCAAACGAATTGACTTAAAGTCGATCATCTTATTAACAGGCTATCGATTTATCTCCAACTTATCGATAACAGCATGGTATTGGGAGCAAGGGGCAGCTCATTGTGAGTCTGTTGACTTGTTGATCTTTTGTTAACCTATCGATGCTTACCCAATGCATCACAGGGCGCTCCTCGGTGCAGACGCCCATGTGCGTCTTTTGGAATGACACGAGGTCTATTTCCAACGATGATGATGTCTTTCTGGTGTATGTTTGTTGTTATTGTTGCTGTTGTTGTTGTTGATTTTGATGTTGTTGTTGTTCCTGTTGCTGTTGTTGTTGTTGGTGTTTGTATCCTGATTGTTGTTGATGCAGCGACTGGGCGCAAGGCAAATGCAAAGGCTTTGGTCCAATAATCCAAATGATATTCAATTGTGTTTATGAAACACTTGACACTGAATCTCTTGCAGTTCTTCTCGTTGTTATTGCTGTTGCTGTTGTATGCGAAATCTTTTGCCAACAAACAATCGAATTTGTGGGCGAGTTTGTTGAACGGGAAAAACACACTTTGAACATCAATTTAATAGATTGAACATTTCGTGAACGGTTGTCGTCAGCGCAGGCAGCTTTTTTTTTGTATATAAACATTTATTATTTATTCTCTCACTATATATAATTGGCTTTATTATTATTTTAATTTCTTCTGCTTATTCTTGCTCAGCTTCAAGGTAATTTAAGGAACATTTGGGTTTTAGGTGACGCACACAGACACACACACACGCACAAACACGCACACACACTTGACTTGATGTGGCGGCAGGTAAAGTTGACTTTGAATCGAGGCGCGCGCTCCTGAACCGACACGGACCACGGTTTAACGAGTCTGAGAGACGCCCGACGACGCGGACACCGGTTGCAAATGTCAGTCCCGGAATGTTAAAACCCGAAATTAATTTATGACATTAATTTACGAGACAGCGCGAGAGAATGGCACTCTGTTTAAATTGAGTGGTAGTGGGAAAAGGTCCACTTTGGTCCCGCTCAGCCGGTCAGCCGGTCACCCAGTCAGCCAGTCAGCCAGACAGCCTCTATGTGTGTTCCCTACGGCAGCGCCCAGAGATGCGTGGCTACTGATAAAGGCATTAGAGCTGGCCCAGAGGCGGATGCGCCTGTTCAGTTTCTGTTTCTGTTTCTGTTTATTGCCGATTGTGTATATTTTGTGTGTTGATAACTAAATGAAGACTTTGACTTTGGACGGTCGTCGGCGGCAGCTGCTGTTGTGCAAAAAGAGATCAGGCCAAACAAAAAATCGACGGAACCGACGGCGTGCGTAATCTGGCGAGGTTAGAGGTTACGCCCGCGGCAAACTCAAACACGAACGGGGGCCGCGCAATATATAATTCAATTCAATATTTGACTGGCTCCCTATTGTTGTTGTTGTTTCGGTTTCTGTTGTTGTTGTTGTTCTTGCTGTTGTTGCATTAAAAAAACAAACGAAAATGCCGAGCGACGAGCCCGAGCGATGTCTGTTGTTGTTGGCACGCGTTTTCAAACTGCGGCGACGTCTCGAAACTCGACTGCGATTCGATTTGGAAACATCCGCGCCGACAACCAGTCAGCGTAGCGGCGTATTACTGTGTGCTTTGCGCCTGCAGCGAATTCACAAGCTCAACTCTGAGACGCGCTCTTTACGCTAGCAGCACAAGCAACAGCAACCACCATCTATCTGTTGTGGCCTCTCGCTTGCACTTGCCAGCTGCGGCAGCTTTAGCGCGCTCTCGCTCTCGCTCTCTCTCTCTCGCTCCCTCTCTGTCGCAGCTCTCTCTCGCCGCAGCAAATGGCGGCGCTCTCAGCTGATTTGTGTTTGTATGGCTTTCTCGCTCGCACATGTGCGGCAAGTGACGTTTTGAGGGCGTGGTGTTTGTCGTCGTCAGTTGCAGAGTCAGTTATTGACTCGGCTGCCCCCGCCAATGTTGGAGAGCTTGAGTTCGGGGTGGCGGAGGGGGCCACGATGGCTGGCTGCCAAACATGAATAATGCAACAGCAGCAGAAGAGTCAGCAGCAGCTACATCGGCAGCAGCAGCAGCAGCGGTGGCGGCGGCGGCGGCGGCGGCGGCGACAACCGGCGGTGGCAGCGGTGGCAGCAGCCGCCGATTGTGGCATCACTTGGAGACCCCATGACAGGAATTTTGCGCTCGCTCGCAAAAGATGTTCGCTGCTGGCTGCCTTTGCTACACAAGTAAGAAGACGTCGCTTGTCGTTGTTGTTGTTTTTATTGGGTGCTCTATCTGTGTGTGTGTGTGTGTGTGTGAGTGCGTTTGCCTTGGGACCTCTATGGCTGCCCTCCTTCATTCGCCGTTGCTGTAAAAGGCAAAGAATACAACAACAACAACAACAACGAAAAAAGTTTGAAGAAAATCGAGCAGGTCTTATTTATTTAGATTTTTTTCTTTGGGCATTTTATGATATATTTTTTTTTTCTTCTCTTTTTCCTTTATTATAACTTCGTCTTCTTTATATTTTTGGTGGCTTTTTTTTTTGCGCTGCTTTAAAGTTTTTTGTTGCGCTCGCTGTCGATTTCTTTTCTGCTACCTCTTCTGCACCATTGTTGTTGTTGTTGTTGTTGTTGTTGTTGTTGTTGTTGTTGTTGTTGTTGTATTGCTTTGATGGCTTATAGAACAATTTTGGGATGGTGGAGCTTAGGGGGGAAAGGCTCTTTTGGCAGTAAGTATCGGATTCGCATTGCCAGCTTTTCTTATTCGGTTTATTTTTCTTCAAAAAATGCGAACATACCTATAAATATGTACATACATTGTATTGTACTATATTGTATATAAGGTAAGCTTTTTATATATTTGATTTCAAGTGAATTCTTTTAAACATTTGCCCAAGTATGCTGTTAAATGTTTTACATAAGCACGAGAGTTCTTGCGAAAACTTTGCGCAGGTAACGCACAATTAACAAGTTAAATAAACTTTACAGCACATTTTACTACGGTTATAAATTAGAAGAAATTTACTAAATTTCGGTTATGCAATAAAGGGAGAGGGAAAAGGAAAGCGGGTCTCATAGCTCATACGCAAAGTAAGGTAAAGTAAGGTAAAGCAAAGTAAAGTAAAGTATAACTTTTGCCACTGAGCCTGGCTTAAATAATGTACTAGGAATCTTGACTTGAAAAAACTTTCTCTTCTAATAAAATTATTACTGTAATATGACACCTGGAATATATAGGGAAGGGTTCACATTCCGGTTAACTGAAACTAAAGGAACTTAGAGTTAAGAAATATCGCGATAAAATACATTAAATATTCGTTCGTATTCCTTCAGCTTTGGGACAAATTTTTTTAAATTTATAGAGACAAAGTAACAATGCCCAACTTTAAAGCCTCTCAAAGAAATATTTTTTTTCACTTCGATTGACTTTTTTCTTTAAACAAACAAGCAAAGGCGAACAAAAGAGAATTTGACATAACTAATTAATCAACCGAGTGCTTTTTCTGCTTTTAATTAAGTGCACACTGGAAAAGTCAATGAAATGCAGATAAGTATTTGCAATTTTTGTTAAGCGCCTGCCCAATATTAGAGTCAAGAACTTGCCACACCCCTCACTCTCCCATGCGACCAGAAATGGAAATGTGAAACTTTGCAATTATTCAGTCGGATAGGTGGATAGAAAAAATATGTAGATGTATCTGAATGCACTCGCTATTCATATTTCCATATGACTATATCGAGGTGAAACGAGAGAGAAGAGCTATCTTCGGCACGCCGAAGATTTAATACCCTTGCAGGGCGAGTCGTTTCTTTTTGCCAAATGCTCGACCGATCGTTTCTATGGCAGCTATATGATATAGTGGTCCGATATAGTCGGTACCGACATGCGTACTGCGTGCAACAGAAAGGACGTATGCAAAGAGAGAGACTAGTTCGCATAAAAAACAGACGGACTCGGCTGTTGACACTGATCAAGAATATATATACCTTACGGGCTAGGAAATAATTTCTTCTATAGGTTACACATTTCACGACCAAATTGTAATACCCTCTGCAAGCGTATAAAAAGGAGAGAAGGATCAATTAAAAGAATTGATAGATGCTCTCAAGTTGACAATGTGATTTTTATGCCACAATGGCGCTGTGTCTCGGGCGGGCTGCTTCTCTGTCTCTGCCTCTGCCTCTGCCGCTGCTTCAGTTTTTACTGCGAGGATGTGCTGCTTCTGCTGCTGCTGCTGTTGCTGCTATTGACGTTGTCGTTGGTTGTCGTCGTTTGTTGTTGCTGTCGTTGTCGATGGCTGTCATTGAGTTTCGCATTTCAGAATAAAAATTCAAAAGTGCTGGGCATGTGCAGTCCTCTTCAAAAAGGGGGCAGGCATATACACCTGCTCTGCGTGTGTGTGTGTGTGGCATGTTTGTACATCAACGCGCATATAACAAATAAACAAACAAAACCAACATATAGTCGAGTGAGCGCCGACTTTTAGCTTGTTGTGTGCGCTTGCAATTGTGAATAACAGCAGCAACAACAACAACAACAACAAAAGCAGCAACAACAACAATAACAAAAGCAACAACAACAAGCAGCGTAAAACAACAATGTGCTGCAATCTTTTGCAAGTTGCTGCCGCTCTCTGTTTTTATTTTTCTTTTCTTTTCTTTCAACTGCAACTGCGTTGCCTCGCACTCGTATTTGCTTTTTGCTTTTTATTTATTTTTATTTTATTTTTTTATTTATTTATTTTGCAAGCTCTGTAGTACATTTTCTGCTGCCGCTGCCGTTGCTGCTGCTGCTGCTGCTGCTGCTCTTGTTGCTCGAAAGTGTTGAATGTCTGCGGAAAGTTACAAAGGTGGTGTCGTCGTCGTCGTCGGCGGCGTCGCTATGCTCCTCCCCCACCTTCCCCTTCTATGTGCCCTTGCCTCCGCATCCCTGTGCTCCATCGGCTAGCCCCATATACACAGCCTCAGTTTCAGCCATGGTTGAGCTGTGTGCTTGGCCCGGGGCATGCTCTTCAACATTTTCTGTGCCGTTTTGCAGTACATGAAGTTTGCATTTTTGTTGTACCCTACACAGTTGGCGGAGCCGGGGGTATACGGCTAAAGGGCCTAGACTGTGAATAGCCATGCATGAGTTGCCATGAAATTGTACTTTAGCTTTAGTAATAATGCTATCAAATCGAAATAGTCACCATCGATGGAAGATAATGAAAGCAATAAAAGAGCCAGTTAACCTCTTATAATTCCCAAGTAGTTTAAGGGCAAATTGAATACAATATTATAATAATATATTATGGAATATACAAATATAATCTTATAAATTAAATAATAATATCTATAAGGTTGCAATAACGATCCTTGGACTTGGTCGAGCTCAATTCTAGCAATCCAGTTTCCGCTAGGGTATCACTCAGTCGTGTACTTTCAATCGGAGGCTCATTTTTTTATTTTGTTGTCGTTTCTTGCGAGGCTTCTGGTATTCATAGGCAGCTTCCTGGCACGTTTTGTATTGGGTGTGGCAGGCGCACCCACTCACACACACTACCACACACACACACACTCCCACGCACACAAAGACGCACACACACACACACACACACAGACACCTACACGAATACGATTGCCCGCCGAAAAACCGAGACTTGAGTTTTACTTGTCTTTTGCCGTAGAATTTGCCATTTTAACTTTTTGTTTTGAATCAGCTTGGCAGCGTTTTCGTTTTGGGGCACGTTGCATGCTGCACGTGGTATACATATATTTGTGTGTGTATAAAATATATTTTCTAAAAGGATTCGAAACGAGGGTTTTGGTTTTGCGTGCAAAGTTTTTGTTGCTGTCGTGTTTTTTTTCCCCCTCCTCCTTTCTCTATCTCTCTCTCTTTTTGAGTGCAACGCCAAAGCGCAGCACTTGTGTAACAAGCACACACACACACACACACACACACACACACACACACTCACAAGCGTTCGCGTCGAGAAGTGGAAACGTAATATCGGATTTTCGTATTTACGTAACTGTGGTTCCTGCACACACACACACACACACACACTCACACAGTCGCCTTTGCCGTCGCAGTAGTTTTTGTTGCCCGGCTCTGTGTACTTTTGAAACACCAAAAGGTTGCTTTTATAGGGCATGCCCACTCATACACACACACACACACACGTACGCACACACTTATAGATACTTGGCTTGGGCTGTGATCCTGCCTCGTCCTGGCACAAAGCAGCAGCAACAGCAAACAAAACAGCAGCAAAACGCCGCACACCGCACTCGAAGTGAAACGTAAACTTTGACAACCCTGCCACAAGCCCCAGACCCCTGCCGATGCCCAGGAGCTGAGCGGAACGGAGCTGTGGCATCAGCTTCAATTCCTTTACAGCAGCCAGCTTTGTGTGTACGTGTGTGTGTGTGTGTGTGCCCAAGTTTCAAAGGGCGAAATGGTTTTTATGTTTCTTTATGTGGGCGCTGGGCAAAAAGGATTTTCAATAGCCGCCATGTTGACTACCCCCAGTCCCCCTTCTTTCTTCTATCTCGCCCCCTCCCCCCTTCGCCGTGCAACGCCCCTGCTAACCATAACCATCAAAGTTAAATAGACAGAAAATTGTGTACAATTTCGTGAGCTTCGGATTT